AGAGTGAAGTGAAGTTGAAAAAGGCCTTTTGCAAAGTGACTTTGGTCTCATATATGACTCAACAAAATGCAGATTTTTTTTAATTGCGGGCCAAAAACTGACCCAGTAGGTGGTTCAATCCGGCCCGCTTGATAAAAAAAATGAACCCCTCCATTTGTCCAGTTACAGCGTGATAAACGTGTTTCTTATGTATGTTCTTCAGGAGGCGTCCATGCTGCAGTGCAGCGTGGGTAAAGAGCACCAGCGTCTGAAGGAGGGAGAGGTTCAACAGCGACAGAAGCTGGAGGCGGCCAGTTACAGGATCTCAGACCTGGAGAGCCAGCTGACAAAGAAAGACCAGCTGATTCTGGATCAGAAGAAACTTTTGGAGGACACCAAAGCCCAGAGCAGGTCAGTGTCCTGCCGCAGTGGTCATGAACGGAACTGCGACCAAAAGAAGGAAAATACATCTTTGATATTGTGTTCGGTGTTTTCAGAGCGGAGCTGTTGGCCTGCGAGAGTCGCTGTGTGGCTCTGAGAAGAATCACCCAGGGTCTGCAGACGGAGATGCTCCAGCTCTACAGCCAGGTTCACCTGGACACGCGCAGCCAACCGCGGGATGTCGTTGGCAGGTAGATGGGGTTTATAGGAATCATTATTATTTATTAATATTTAATGAAATATAATTTTACAAAAAAAATATCCTGAACATGAAGAGTATTTTTTGTATTTTTCTTATTTCCAAAATTTACCAAGTGGGCCGGATTCATCAACCTAGTGGGCCGTTTTTGGCCCGCGGGCCGTATGTTTGACACCCCTGACTTAAATGAATGTGATAAATATATATATAGGAGGTCTGTCCGCCCTGGGGTTCATGACGTTTTTGGTCAATTTAACAATTTTTTTTAATTTATCTTTTCGGCAAATTCAAGTACTTCTGTAGGTAAAGTAACTGTCTGCGCCAGAAGTACTTGAAGTACTTGAACTTGAAGCGGCGTCAGACAAACTCAGTCGCAGTTGTTTTTTGGTTCGATGTGTGATTTTTTTTTTTCTTTTCTTCTCCCTCAGGTCAGACAGCAGTGCCATGGCCGTACCTGTTACACGGGATGAGCTGAAGCCCCGCCCCTCCTCCAGCTCCGTCAGCATCATAAACGGAGCGGTGGAGTCTCTCTCCACCTCCCCTGTTCAACTACCCTCCTGCTCGTCCTCCCCTCTCTCTCTGTCCCCCATCGACTCCCCGCTGACCGTCGGCTCGTTCCTGGAGAAACAAACCAGGAGGCAGTTCCGGCCGACCAATCACAGCTCGGACGAAGAAAACGAGGACGAGCCGCCGGAGAAGACGGAGGAGGAAGAGGAGAGGGAGAACGAGGAGGAGGAGGAAGAGGACAATAATGTGGAAGACCAGCTAGGGAGTCCTCCTCTGGGTCAGGAGGCAGAGGAGGCCTTCCTGCTCCTCAAAAGTCCTCAGGTGGCTCCTCCTCCTGGTCAGGCCGCCGCTCCCAGCCGCCCCCTCTATAAACCCCCGGGTCGTCTGTCGGGACATGCCCCCCCCACAGACCTGACCCTGGCTGTCCGACAGAGGAGACAGGAGCTGAGCATCATGGACTACAACGAGAAGCTGCCGGAGTTCTGACCGCAGACTGCTACCTGCCTGGTGTCCAGCAGGTGTCAGTCTGCGCCTCACGACGTCTGAATGAAGTAACTTTGAACACAACAAACTGTTTTCTGTCATTTTGGGGGTTCGCTGGTGACACAAAAATTTTAGGTGAATTAATTCTGAGGTTCGCCCGGAAAGCTAATCAGCCAATAAGCTTCAAATCCGTCTAAGGTTAATGAAAAAAAAAAAAAAAAGTTTCTAGCTACGATGGGGACAAAGTCCACCGCGGGGTTAATAGGAAATTCACAGAAAAAAAAAGTGAAAGGTCCCCAGTTAGCTCACTAGAAGTAGCATTATGTGCTAAAAGTTAGCTGCTGAGAAAGGAAATAGTTTCCTGTTGAATGCCTGGGCTTTCTTCTTCCCAGCATGCACTGCTTCTTCTGCTCAAATTGAAGAACGCAATTATACCAAATATGAAATGAAAGTGTGTCGGTCATTACGAGAAATACTTGGATGTTGTCGGATGCTAACATTTAGCTGAATGTTCTTCAACTGGAAACACGGAGCTCCACTGGTGCCAAAAAGAAAAAATCTGTGAAATCCTGTCGATGGAGTCCAAATATTCCCCGTGCCGAATATTTCTCACTCGATGCGTTAGAAGCATCGGAACACAAAGTGTTAACAGAACGTCGGGTTAAAGGAACTGAACGGACTGTCGGTGGTAGAGTGGGCGTCTCTGTGTGGGCTGATGACATCATCGTTAGGTCAACCAAGTCATTGGTCAGGCTGGTGGGAACTAAAGCTGCTAGAGGTCATGACCTTTGGGGGTTGATGCAATAGAGATTTCTTTCAAATCCTTCAATGATTTTTTTTTTACATGTATGACTCTGGGGAAAAAAGGGAAATCCTATTTGGTGATTTTGGTTAATTTCAAAATTAGTCTCAAGATCTCACTCCTCTTTCTCAAAAAAGAAGGTAGATTTTCCCTCTGAAAGTTTTCATGTCCAACGATCTTCATTTGACCAGCGTCTGGTTCTGGCTTTAATGGCTGATGAATGTAAAGTGACGTGAATGTTTCTGTACTCAGACCACGTGTCCTCAGGTTCACAGCTCAGGAAACCTATGTCTTATTTCAGGTCAACCAGCTGTTCGGTCACACAACTGTGATTCTGTATGTACGCTGATAACCAAAAATATCAACTCCTGACGTCAGTGTGTGGGTAAAGATGTCGACATTTACACCCCTGGGGCTGATGTTTGTATCAGGGGCTAATGGTGCACACAGTAACTGTCCTCTGTTTTTGATGCAAAAGTTGAGACATTAAACATTGAGAGAATTGTCATTCAAATGCTCTACGTGGAATCCACTGAGTCGCATTTCAAAAGATTGACTGTAATACACAACTTCACCACCAGATGTTGCCAAACACCTACACACTGGCATTTGAATTAAAAGCAGTGACAGATGTGTGAGCTTATAGTCATTTTTGCAGCCCCCCCTCTCCCCTAAGATGTGATGACAGCTGACGTCAGAGTCACGGATGAACCGGAGGATTTTTCTTTCTTGTTTTATTGAGGGCTATGTTAAAAAAAACACACACACACAAAAACAACAACGAAATCCTGCCCTTGTCTGTTTTCACCTGCGCAATACTGTGAACACTGCCAATAAAGATTTATCCAAATCAAACCTCCACACTGAGTCTGTTTAAGTTTGAATTTTACTACATGGGAAATAAAACGAATAAATAAATGAACGTTTATTTATTTGTTTTTTAAATTTAAAACAAAAGTCTCTTTTGTGACTATTTTAATATGCTTTATTCTACGGTGACAGTTCTGAGTAGAATATTAGAATAATAAAAATATCAATTTTTATATATAATATATAAAGGTTATATAAGTGTAAGGTATATATTTGTGAATAATCCATCATCCGTCTGAAATTCAAATTTTAAGAAATTAAATTCATTTTATGTCGGTTTTGTTAGTGAGAAATTCCACTTCCGGTCAGTCCTGGGTCGTAGACTAGGAATCAAACCAACATCACTAGGTTAATTTTCCTCTCTTATTATCAAACCCAAAAACACGACTATTTTTTCGATTAGCCTCACCTGTCTTAATCACACCCTTCGAGTAGGTGTCGTCATTATACAGTGCATATTCGAAACGGACTTAAATAAAAATAAAGCCGAACCATCGAGACCTGTGTTCGAGTCTTTGACTCGTTGTTTCCAAACGAACCGACCAATTATTGGATGTTATAAGAGACACATTCGTAACTAATAAACGATTAAAAGTAAGGTTAAACTCCCGTCCCGTATCGCCCTCTAATGACGCACTTCCTTGACGACCAGCGCACCCCATAGCAACCGACCGGGAAACAGTGAGTAAGTCGTGTTTGTTTGATGATACTGTCGAAAATACTCTCAATTCTACACTGATATATCTTTCTCAAAGCTAAAGGCGTCTCTGCTAAAACTACTAGCTGCTACGTTAGCCTATCAGCTACATTCCAAGATTATACGCGGGATATATATATAAATTATTAGAATTAACATCAGCTATTTGAACGAAATAATTCCATTACAACCAATTAATTCACTTTCTTTAGAAGTCGAGCTAGTAAAACTAAAATTTACCGTAAAAACGAAGCTTTAAATTGACCCGAACTTTTGTTAGTTATTTTTTCCCGTTTCTTCAAATTGAATTAATCACGAAAAGTTTTCAGACATATATTTGGGGAAAAAAAACCAGCAATTTTGCAGTTTACGCAGACAAACATGGCGTCTTTCAACTCGTGCAGGTAAAAAAAAAAAAAATTAAAATAAATATTGGGTGCAGACGTGTAGAAAGTGGAAGAATGGCGACATCTGTGTGTGTGTTTCAGAGCATGGTGTCCAGTCTGATTGTCGACCAGCCTGGAGACCCGGTCCTCCACCTGATCAGTTTTCTGCAGAGGAGTAATCAGAGCAGTAAGTCATGGACAGCCACTAGATGGAGCTGTGACTCCACACACAGTCCGTCAATTATTGGGTCACAAAGTGGGGCCACGTTTTCTCAACGTTTAAGCCGTGTTTTCGCCAGCGGGCGCCAGAGCAATTATGGGAAGTGAAAACAAGCAAAGCAAAAAGAAAGGCAGGTGCGAAACTCTTAACATACATGGGGAAGGAATGGGGTAGATTTGCGCCACCTACAGTAAGAGAGGGGAATGACAACAACTCCAGAAAGACAGTAAGTTTGTAGTAGTATGAGGACATTTGATCGTCCTTCTCTGTGGTTCTCAGTTCCCAGGGTCATGCTGCTCGGCGCCCCGGCGGTTGGGAAACACACTGTGGTGAGTTTTACCTCTGACAGTTTAAAATGTTGTCATTGTTTATTTAGCTAATTATCATTAGCGTCGCTCTTAGCGCTAAATGTCTCTGTTGAATCATGGAGAACAAACATGTGACTCGTGACTTTTCTGTTCTCCCCTGCTGACACTTTGACTTCTAGGCCAAAAAACTGAGCACGGAACTGAATGCCGTTCATGTGACCGTCGACACTCTGATACAGGACCAATCAGAGCTGGGGGAACGTGCTCGTCAGTACAGACTCAGACAGCAGGTAAGACCAGGAATAACTGGCAAACACAATAAATATATATATATACACTCTCTCTCTCTCTCTCTATATATATATATATATATCATATATATTAACATATATTAATATATACTGTATATTTGTCATGTTTGTTTGGTCAGGAGCTTCCCGTCGACCTCCTGGTTCAACTGGTCCAGCAGAAACTGAAGGAGGTCGACTGCTACAACAAGGTGAGTTTTCTTAGAGTCAAGACTCGAGGGGATTTTTTTTTCAGTTAGCTTCTTTTGCGATCAGACGTGAGTCGACTTCACCGTTCTAGGAATGAAGACTCTTCTCGAAAATTCTGTGATGTGTTTGTTGTGTAACAGCTGTTGATAAAATGGCCGTCCTGCCTCTTAAACGGTTTATCCAATCACCATGCAGAAGCCAAGTGCCCCCTCTTTGCTCCTAGGCCTACAATGAAGGTCAAGTGTAAAAAATAAATAAAATTGTACTCTATTGATCCCATATTTGGGAAGGTATTGTATTAGCACCAGATATGTTGTTAACAGGCAACCTAGCGAGCAGTGGTTCTACTGGGTATTGAACCCAGGACTCTTTGTTCTTTGCATCTGCGGCAGGCATGCTAACCACTACACTAAGGGACCGTGTCGTAGAAGTGACATTTTTTTTTGTCCAATCAGCCATCACAGTGGACAACCCTATCCAGTGCTGCCCTATTCAAGACCATGAAGCTGAGCTTCAACAGGGTTTAATATGCACCACTACTATAGGAACACATGGGGGCGGAGACTCCCACCAGACGAGCTATAATTAATGGCTGATTGATTGATGCAATTATATTATTAAATGAAATGAAATGTCATCAGACCTGGGCCATGAAGTTTTTGGAACTATGGCATCACCTAGTGGTGTGAATGTAAAAAAACATAAGATGTTGTTGAAAAGACGATGTCGCGTCAACGACGATATAGTTGAAATCTCTTGTTTTTCACTCTCGTCTCCCTCTTTCGTGACCTCCCGCTGACACGATAATAATTAGCGCTCTGGTCGGTGCCGTGTTAGACTACGATTCCCCCAAAGGCGGGGACGGGCGTGGGCCCATTTCCCCGGAGAGCACCTGATCAAACCGCAGTGTTGCTGTCACAGCAGACGTGTTATTCTCAGTTGTGCTCATCCTCTCTGCTGCTCCTCATTAGCATCACTTTCCGTTTACCTGTCGCCGTTGATCGGGACCAAAGGAGGCGCTCTCTGATCACTCCGAGAGAATGAAAGCCAGAGACGCCGCCGCCACAAACAAAAACAAACCGAGGCTCGCGGCTGCCGTCGGGTGACTGACGTGTCAGCAACCTCTGCTCACGTGTCTGCTCTGCCGCTGGATCACAGAAGAATTTAAAGTAAATCTGCTGAGTCTGTCATAGGTTTTTCTATTTTTTAATTTTTTTTCAGTTTTTCTCAAACACTTAGTTCCATGAACCTTTTAAAACGAAGTAAATGTGTTTTGTTTCCTTCAGCTGCCTCTATTTTCGTATGTCAATGAAACAACAGCAGATATAATAATTTCCTGATTTGAATTATGAAACAAAAACATTAGGGATTTACGATAATATCGCCGACTGACATTATCGGCCCGATTTTAGCATAATAATGTAATATCTGTAAGAATCGTTATCGTTTTTTTTTCCTCCGATAATGAAAACCCGATAATGCAATGCCAAATGATGTCTGACCTATAAATAGTTTTGGGGGAAAACAGCTGCATATGAAAGTGAAAGTCACTAGATGGCAGCATTGCAGCTCATTTAATAAATCTATTGTAATAATCAGGGGATTGTATGCAGAATGTTGGTCCCAACAACTCATACAGTGGTTTGTACAGATAAATAAATAAATATTACCAGGCCTATATCGGTATCGGTCGATATCGGATTCGGAAATTAAGTGTTTGGGCAATATCGGCATATCGGATATCGGCAGAAAGTTAATATCGGACATCCTTAAAAAACATCTACCTGCTGTTAGCACGCCACAAACAGCACACCTCAAAATGTGACCTCTGCATTTTAACCCATCACCAAAGTCAGCAGGGGGCAGACTTGAACCTGAAACCTTCCGGACCTTTACCACTAAGCCACCACTGCCCAAATCTGCACCGACCATGTGATCGTTACGTTTTAAAAATTATATAGTTTGACGACTTATGAAAACGAACGCAACATTTCTTTTATGAACTGAAAAGTGTGACCTGTCGATGATGTCATCATGGGTTCAACGTCCCACGATGACATTATCCATTTATATCTCCGCTCTGTGTTCGCGTCCCGGCACTTATACACTAGTCTCTGTCAGATCTGAAGATCCTATGGTGTCGCTGCCGTGAGAGCCGCGGGCTTGCGTGGCGGTGTGAATAGACAGGCAGAGGATGATTGACAGCCTCCATTTGAACCCCGCCCTTTCCTGTCACATGAATTTCTGCCCCTGTCCCCGTCTCTGTCTCCTCCTGTCTCTGTGTCTTTCACCGTGGACCTTCACTGGACCTTCAACTGACGAAGCACGTTCTACATCAAACCACTTCATTGGGTACATTCGTCCTACCTCACCCGGTAGCCCCCCCTGGTGGTGGTAAAAACCAAGCATCAGCTCCAAGAAGGAGGAGATTAGGTTTATCTTCAGGATTAACACAGGAGAAAAAAAAAATCCAAATCCGATCATCTCGACAGAAACATTTTAAAAAAAAGAAAAAAAACCAAATATATTTGTTCTTGCTTTATTTATAATATATATATTTTTACATATTCTAATTTACATATTTATTCTTTGTTCGTATTCTTCTAGTCCTCTAGGGAAAAGGAAAGAGTCTGACAACTCTGGTACAAAAATAATATATAAATATATATAAATAATGTATATATATTTATATTTTTTTTTTGTATTTTTTTTTCTTCAGAAACAGCTTTGTAGTTATGGAAACATCAGGTTCTTCATCTCAGGACCACGAACAACCATTCACACCCCTGACCCGGGAATCAAACCAGCAAACTATTCTTTAAATTCATCATGACATGACCCTCTCCGTATTGTTCAAGTCCTAATAACTTTGTATTAAATACAACATATAAAATAAATATATATTTATATATATAAATAGAATATAATAAAAATAAATAATAAATATATAAATATAAATATATATGTTTTATAAATATACTGTAAAATAACCAGATATATTAAATGACTGTGTGTGTGTGTTTACAGGGCTGGGTGTTGGAGGGACTCCCACAGACTCGTGTGCAGGCTCTGGGTTTTCAGCAGGCCGGGGTCATCCCTGAACATGTTGGTGAGAACACGAGAAAGAGAAAGTACTCGGGTTATCAAACAGTACGGTGTACTTTTATAAAGTACCTGGATCATTGAGTAGAAATGTGAGTAAATAAACTCTGTGTTATTCAGTTTTCCTCGAAGCTCCTGATAACGTGTTGTTGGACAGAAGGAAAGGGAAACTGATCGACCCTCTGACTGGAGGTGAGTCCAGCTACTGCGGCCGGTATTATCGGACCGATATTAGCTTACCTATGTAATATCTGTAAGAATCGATATGGGATTTTCCTCCGATAATGAAAACCCGATAACGTAATGCCTGGGTTTTGCCAAATTATGTGTGACCTTAAAAATAGTTTGGGGGAAAAACGGCTGTACATGAAAGTGAAAGCCTATAGATGGCAGCATTGAAGCTCTCATTTTAGTGTTTTTAATAAATAGGGGATTGTGTGCAGAATGCTAGTGTTAGCAACACAAACATTGTTGCTAACTATGGGGGGGCATGGAAGAAAATGATTGCGAAACACTGCCTTAACCCATCATCTTAGTGAGCAGGCGGCACTTAACATCCTCAACCACTAGACCTGCCCTGCTGCATCGGTATCGGTTGATATCGGAATCAGAGAATAAGCGTTTGCTCTGTCTGTACAGATGTGTACCATCAGACCTTCATCTGGCAAGTTGACAGCGTCGTCGCTCAGCGACTGGAGAAGGACCAATCCCCGTCGGAGAAGCAGCACGTGGCCGAACTCCAGCGTTTTCGCTGTGAGGTCACAGGTCTGAAGGCAGCCTATCAGCATGTCCTGAAGGTCGTCAACAGTGACCAACCGCATGATGACGTCTATCAACAAGGTGCAATAAAAATAAATACCAACGGTTCAATCTGACAACGGTCGTAAAAACTGAGCGAACACAAACCGTCCGGTTGTTGATCCTCCAATATGCAGATGATACGATAATCTATGTTTATGCTTCAAGTGTTTCGGCTGTTTGTAGATTTGTTTCCTGTTGACTGACGACTATTTGTTTTTAAACCCGTCTCGTTTCAGTGCTGGCTTTTGTTCGCACACGCAAGCAAACCAGAACTCCCCGAATACTGCTGCTGGGTCCACCTGGATCAGGGAAGAGTAACCAGGCCAGACGGCTTTCAGACAAATACAAGATGGTGGACGGTATATTTGAC